TTAGTTGCTACAATTCGAGATGAATTTCCAAATGTAAAGGCACTTTATTGCATGTTTTATATTGTATATAATATTATATTCAATTTAAAAAATAGTCTCAAAGATCATTATAATGAATTTATTAAAGACTTTTTTGAAGTACAACAAATTGGCTTTGTTGCAATTTTTGAACATTGGTGGAAATGTCTTCTTAAAAAATATAATAATGAAAATATAATTAGTTATTTACAACAACTTTATGGTAGCAAAAAGTCATAGACAAACGTGTTTATACTTAAATTTTTTACAGCAAGGATATTATCAACTTTTTGGATTGAAAGCTATAACTCAAAAGTTAAACAATTAATTTTAATTCCAATACATTATTGTTAGAACTTATATAAAAATTAACAGTTTGTATTTTTGAAGAAAATAAAAAAAAACAGAATACACTTAATTTCATACATCAGTTCTAAAAACTGTCTTGATTGCTATAGCTAACACTATACTTCCAAATGTTTGTAAAATATTACACAAATACTTAACTGTGAAAATCTTGAAAATTCAAGAAGATCAAATTAAACAATTGCTTCAATATTATGCAACAATAATAATATTAAATGAAATGCAAAGATATCTTTTAGTAAATAAAGGGATAAGGAGATAACTATATATATAAATTTTGTGTCTGGTTTGTGGCAGAAATATATAATTAACAGCCTCTTTTTTAAGGACCATTGTAGTTAGAGTTAGTTTAAACTAAGGTTAGAGTTTGATTATTTATATGGTAAAATCGCTCAAAGAAAACTGTTTGTTAAAGCATTCTTTAAAAAATTTTTTGATCTATGTTGCATTATACTGATTTTTAAAATCTGGTTTGCAGATTTATATATATACACATATATACTAATCTTATATATTTAAATTGCAAATCAATCTTGATGATTCTGCCTTATTTAAACATTAAAATCTTACTGATATTACTGCCAGAGCAATGCTTAATTTTGTGGATGAAGATAAAATTGTGAAAATGTGGGGAGTTTGGCTAGTTATATCAAATGATATATAGCATTTTATAATACTTTTGAATGATGAAACCCATTTATGCTTTTGCTTTAACCATTGTAACCATAAAGTTGTTTGTCATCATTTTTTCTAAATAATGCTATGTACACGAAATGCAGCATTCTATATTCAGCTAATACGATCACATTGGTTTAATGAAAATAGTAATGATTCAAAGCAAAAACAATTTATAGTTGCACCAAAGTTTGAAATCGAATAACCAATGATGATAAGTAGAGATAGCCTAATTTCATATTTTAATGCTTTAACTCAAGATTCTATATATGAAGTATGAGATATAAATAGTAAAACAATATATGAATATAAATTATATAGAGAGACATGGGGTTAAAGTGCGTAATATAGCAGTCATGGGCATGCCATCACAGCATGCCAATGGTGACATGCCATAGAGCATGCCCAAAACAAATTAGTTTATAGGCATATCACTTATATAATATGTTTCGCTCTGGCTAAACTGATATTTGGATATCTGAAATATTCCAAGTAGAAAATTAAACAAAATAAAATTTTGACATAAAATTATAAGAAAAAATTGAAGCAAAGGTCTAAAATATTCCAGAAGATGGTTCAATTATATTATAGCATGCTCATAGTATAGAATAGTATAAATTTTGGTTAATGGCATGCTATATAGCATGCCAAATTTTTTTGCTATGCTATATATCCTACATGGGTAAAGCAAGAGCAGCTTTAATGATAGCAGTTCGAAGGTGTGACTATAATTTTATTACTATTCTTGACAAATATATAGAAGACTGTTGTGAAAAACCAGAAGAGCTATCCTTCGATAATAAAAGTGATATGTTTTCAAATGATGAAGATGAAGTAGATAGTGAAACAGTAGAAGAAAATTTGAATCTTAAAGAACTGATGAATTCTTATAAGCATAAAAGAAAAGGTCAGTCAAAGGGAACAGATAGAATATGACATGCAAATAAGGTACCCAAAAAAGTGAAATGTAAATTACATTGTAAAATTTGTAAAATACTAATCATAATTGAGCAACTTATATATAAAGATATAAATAGTAATTTATTATTAGCAATTGTTAAGATTCTTATATAGAAGGATCAATTGTTGGTATTAGTGACTTGGTATATATTATATTATGATGTTAAATATTGCATAAATGATATTAAAAAAACTAGAAATCTAATTACACAACTTATAATCAAATTTCTGATTTTTCTTATATTATTAAAGTGTATGCAAAACTAGATCGATTTAAATATGAATTGTCAAAATGTTTCTGAAATTCAAATATATAAGATAAAATAGATATTATAGGTAGAGATAAATAAAATAGTGATTGCTATTTTACTTATTTCATAATACTATGTCCTTTATCTTACACTCTCTAATTCAATAGTGAAAATTTTAGACTGGTTATTCATTTGGATTCTATGTATATAGTATGCACTTACGTAACAAACCAAATAAATTGGACCTAAATTTTTGTTTAATCATTGATAGAAATGCAAAATGGTTCTACAGATTTGCATAAAACAAATTTGATTTGTATAGAGTATCTATAAATAACATTATGTACCCCACATAGAACCTCTTAACAAGACCCTAAACAATCTACAAACAGCTAATAATTTGCAAAAATTATTAAAAATAAAATGATTTGCAAAAAAAAGCCTGAAATAAACAAACTAATTACTAAAAATAGAAAAATCTGCAGAAAAAGTAGTCTGAAATAAGCAAATTAAAATCTTATCTGTCTATAGATTGTTCGGGGTCCTTTCTTGACCCCTCAGACTATATAAAAAAAAATTAAAAATCCGTATATTTATATATAAATTTTTATAAAATCTTAATTATCTTGTGACTCAGTAATCCAAATTAGATAAATTTAGTACCATTAGATTCCTCTCAGTAGGGAGAATTCAATGGTACCAAAATTATTCAATTTGTATCACTGGATTAAAAGATATGAGCAAAAAACTGTTATTTATATATAAAATCATATAGTCAATAGTTTTTTGCTAATATCTTTTGATCCAGTAATTCTAATTAAATGATTTTGATACCATTGGATTCCTCTCAGTGAGACGAATTCAATAGTACCAAATTCATCCAATTTAGACTACTGGGTCATGAGATATTAATATTTTTATAAAAAAATTATATTATTTTCCTTCAACCACCTCTACCTTAGCAAAAAATGTAAAAAACGTTATTTTTGTGAAACCCCCTCCTCCCTCTTGTATAATATTATTTATGGATGCCCCATATTGGTAGATTAATATTTAAACTAGTTTTATTTTTGCACATGTTAAAACCTGATTTTAATTAAGAAAAATAAAACTGGTTTTCAAACTTACTATATTACGTATTATTCTTTAATTGTGATACGTATATATTAGCTGCTTTATATATTATCTTTTTAGTATTATAGTACTAATCAGTTAATTTTATTATACTATTTATATATAGTATTATAAATGTGATACATAATATATAAATTGTAAACAGATTTGCATCTTGTACTATTCTAGCATCATAGCGCTATAATATTATAAAATAATTTCTATAAAATAAATATAATAATAACTAATAACTAATAAAATACAAATATTGAAATAATAAGATAATACTAAGATAAAATAATAAATTAATAAAATAAGAGACTATTATTTCTATCATAGTATTTTGCTATTTCTACTATATTACTATTTTTATACTTAATATATAGTAGAATATATTATACTATAAGATTATAGTGACTTAGTGTAGTTAGAATTCCACTAGTGACGAAATTCGAATTTACATAATGTGTTACAGTAAAATTATATAATATATTAATTAGGTTAGCATTTGTAATCTTGGTCTCACCAACTCATATTAGAAGGTTGTAGAACATAGTATAATGCATAAGTTTATGAAGCTTAGATGAAGCAGCCAAATAAATTTAAGAAATCAGAGGATATGGACATCTACTTGAGAAGTCCTGAGTAGAAAAGTAGTACAGATCTTTAATGATGCTATGTAAAAGATTATCATTTGGAGAACTGAACACTGAAGGCAAACTGAATGAGAACCAAGTATTTGGCAAGCACTACACCAATTAGGCTGCTAGATAATCAGAGAAAAAAAAATTTATTTAGAATACTAAAGAATGTTCACTAGTTTCTTCTGGACTATTTAGATTAGAAGTTTGGAGCACCAATGGTTAGCATCAAAGTATTGTTGATAGTTCATAAAATAGATACTAAAGTTTGAATAAACTTTGCAAGGACAAGAAGTAGGTAATGATATTGGAAATAAAAAGCTACAAGTACTTGACTGCGGCCTAAGTATAAGTTATTGAAAATCTAGGTGATATATATATAAAACATGAACTACTTTAGTAGGTTTATTACAATAATAAAGGACTTTTCTATATAGTAGTGTGTATCTGTTTTAAAGTCCTAAGAGCTTTCACAGCAATTCTTCTTCGATAAGAATATCTAATAGCACTAAGTTAATTAGAGTAGTAATATTTTCATTAATATAACAAAGTTGAGATACTCACATAGTAGTTATTCTGATATTAGAACCGTAAGTTAATAAAATGTACCAGATCCAAAGTGGTTACCTTAATATTAAAAAATATATTCCTTAAACTGTAGGCTTTTCCAAGCAAATTTGTTTGGAAAATTATCATAAATATTGTTATGATCTACTTTTTTTAAATTTTAATATATTTAAATAATTTTTTTTTTGATAATATTTGAAAATAAAGATTATATTATAGCAGTATTTAATTTTATATTATAAGAAAAAAAGTCTTA